TGCACATCGTACAAGCACGAAAACTACATGGATCTGCTCACGCCTTCTGGAATGGCGTGCTCCACTTAGCTGCAGTTGGTGAGCCTGAAGCCAGGGAAACAGTTTCGTATGATGGGGCTCACACTTAGGCTAGCGATGGCTGGAGTCCTCTCAGCTGTGCAGAACAAATGTGTGGTCTGGCTCGGGCTTGTTTGTTCATCCTTTACAAGAATGAACATGGGCTTCTCTAAGAGGTCTTACCTCGTGCCTTTGGGGAACACAGCTCAGAAAAGTGTTGCCGACTCGAACATTCTCGCTTCCAGGAGAGCTGGGCAATGTCAGTGCAGTCAGTCTATGTAGAACATTACTCTGTGCACTCACGGGTGGCCCAGCTGTCAGGACATGCCTCCTGCTCATGATGGTGCTGGCTCTGAATGGAGTCTTCGTCCTGGAGCAGCCAGCACTGAGCTGGTTCGAATGGTTCCCTCGGTTCAGGGATCTTTGCAAGAAGTGGAAAATCTGGAGGGTTTCCTGGTATATGTTGCACTATGGCGCTCCTACCCCGAAACGCCACTTCGCTTACTCGAACTCACCCTGCATTCGGCGCTTCAGTCGGGGCAAGCTACGAGGTTGGAAGAAGAAGGTCCTGCCAGGAGCTCCTAAATCTGCTCATTACTACAAGGATGCCAAGGGGAAGAAATGCTATGTGGGGACGAAATTTCTGAAAGGAACAGGGTCAGGGACTGAGTTTCATACGTGCCTGCGACTCTAGCTTCACAAATCCATATGTGCACAAACAAGACTTATATCAGGTAGGGAAATTAATTTATGCCAATCAAGGACCTATCCTGCGGCATTTGGTGCTCGAGTGGCATCTCTCATCGAGGAGATGCAGGACTCCAAGATATCTTTTGACCCGGAAGTTCCAGCCCAGGCCTTTCAGTGGTTTCGGATTTCGTAATTAGCCTTACAGACCCTCCGAATTTCTACCCAGTCAACACCATCCTTAAACTTCAACCATGAGAACCTCGAGGTCCACAACCCCGATAAACAATTGTTGTACGAATGAGCTGTAAGGTGTTACAGGGTTTATAGGGATGGTGTGGAGCTTGTAGGGTCGACTTACAGAGTGGCTTCTGTTAGGGCTACGTGTGTTGCTTTTACGATGATCAGGCTACATCACCCATGGGGGTGTCCTGCATCCCAGCTATGGCTTTAACCTATGACAGGGTTAGGTTTTTAGGGTATAGGGGTTTGTACGGTTTGTAGGGTTTATAGGGTTTAGGGCTTTTAGGGTTTAGGGTCTACTGGCTTTCGTCCATGGTTCTACCCCGCTGTATAGCACTTTGTTCAGCAGAATCCTAAAAAAGCTTGCTAGGTGTTCGATAATCTTCTCAGGCTTGGTGGTGGCAGTTATCCAAAACCCAAGGATCATCATCAAATAAATGAAACCTCTCAAAAGCCCTGTATAACCCACGAATTCCCGAATCGCCCTCCTAAATAAATGAATATATATATATATATATACACAGAAATACAGATAGAACAATTTAATATAGTAATCATACATTTATATATATATATGTATATTCCATAAACCCTGTAAACCCTCCAAACCTCATGGGTCTTTTCTACACAGTAAACTTTCTCATCTCAATTGACATCGCTACCAGGCTGCGACCATCTCTACTGCTGCCTGATCATGGGTCTACAATTAAACCCTAGCAACCCTTGAGTTCGAAGCGCCTTGTATAGTGAAAACGTTACAATAATTAATACATTAGTCTCCAGTGTAGTTCCTTTTCGGGTTAATTACTTTTTAGGACCCTTAATATAGAATTAATTGGTTAAACCAAAAAAAGAACT